AAGTCTCAGTGTGTGTGTGTGTGTGTGTGTGTAGGTGATTACTACGCCTTGAGCACAGTTTATTGCTTCTTATCGTCGTCGTCATCATCATCAAGGCACTGATCACACAACTTTCCAACTTCGTTTATATGATTCCATTATTTCTCCTCGCTTGATTTGATTGGTGGTAGTAGTATTTTCCATATTTCTGGTATGAGTGATGATGAGTCATTCCTACTGCACCTGTTGTGTTGGGTGTAGATCCAAAGTATTAAGCCTATCTCTGTCTCCACCTACCTATGTTACCTATTTTAATTTTTGACTTGAATTTTGACTCTGTCCCACCCTATTGTGTAGTTGTGTGTTGGTTGATGCATGCAGTGCATTGCAGTTGCTGAGATTTTTTCTAAATTACTTATCTTCGTGGGGTCAACCATTCTAACCTTAGGTAAATTCTTATGTTCCGACAATCTGACTATCCCCGATATACTAGTTTGACTCACTTATGTAGGTAGTTGATCTAACTCACAATCAATGCAAGGTATTTTGTAAATTATATTATTTTGTCTAATTGGGTCAACCGACAGGGTCGTTTAACCCACCGAGCTTTTACCCTCTCTGAGTGAGTTTGTAGGTTTAAATACCACCACTCTAATTCATGCTTTATTAAGAATCCTACGTGGTGGCATAATTGATATAATTACTCAGAAGTGGCTTTAGAAATGAAAATGAAAGTTGTAAATTGCGTAGTACTCAACGGCACAAAGGAAGAAGGCGTTAGAAATTTGATAAGGTTAAAGTTGTTATTGAGTAATGAGAAGAAGGGTGGTAGTTAGGTGTCCATTTCACAAGTGTGAAGAGGGTGTGAAAATGTAAAAAGGAGCATATGAGAGTGATAATATTTAACTAATTATAAATTAAAGTAAAAGCAACTAAAAGTAACATAAAAAAATCAAATTTTTACAGGGGACGACTAATAAAGAGATTAAGATGATGGTAGAATAAGAGACTGGACAAACTTTTTCTGTATACAGAGTTCGGGGATGTACTGACGAATTGCTAACACCTCCTCCATACACAAATGCCAAAACATGACTCTCTTTGTACTATTTGCTCTCACCTTCTGGATGATTTTTGAAAAACGACTCTGGTGGAGCTATGTGGCTTGAGTTCACCAAGTGCTGGAGAATTGTTTGTGCGCATACCTGGTGTACAGTGGGCTTAGGAGGAACTCTCGTAGTTCATGCTGTTTTGAGTGTTATCAAGTTTCATCTGAATAACTGTGATTCAGTTTCGCCATAGAATCCACCACAGAAGCGCACCTGTTTCGCTTGCCACACTTCATATAGAACACAAAGGAAAACAACAGAGAGATTCGAAGTAACTATCACAAGCAGAAATGTGAGGGAGAAAGTATAGTAACGTGGAAAATAAATAAGTGGGGCTGTAATGGATATGGGAGATCACAGAGAGTGAATGCATCTGTGCCAGTCATTGAGGACGAGGATTTAGAATCCCGTTAACCCCAACCAGTCAGTCAGGCAATCTAGGCCTCCCTAAGTGGCCAGCCCAAACTAACTGTCATGTATATCTTGGACTTATCCCATGTTTTCGTTCGACCACCACTACTAGCTCTCATTCAAACGGGTTGATTCTGTGTCAGCTAACATTTCCCCTTCGTGGAAGCCGGTGGCTACACCTACCTGAAACATGTTGTAGCCATCTCACTTGAGGTAGATTTGCTACCTCATCGTTTGACTTTCCCTTTTTTAGTAACACTCGATATCTCCGCACAGAAAGAACAAAAAGTGATACAGAATAACATCGATCCATTTTATATTTCGTTGCTTCTCATCAGCCGCAGACTACCTATAGTCTTTAATTATTGAAAGTCAGTGTAGAACTTAACACACACACCTCATCAACATTCATAGTATAAGAGTGTCATGGTGAGATAAAAGAGCAGGATGACAAGGCAGCTGAAGCGTAAGTGCATGTATATATACACCTCTTGGATGTAAACTTGAAGAGAAAAACGATAGGACACTCGAGAAATCGATGCATCATAAAGACACACGGAGTGGTCACTACTTAAACTTCAACAACTTCTATCCAGTCAGTTACAAACGAATTCTGGTGAAAACACTTTTCTCTAGATAATGAACTAATGCTGCTTGAGAAGTGCTTGAAAGGAAATGGTTTTCCACAAAACTAGCTTCCTTGACAAATATGGGTGGTGGTGGTGAGGGGGGATGAAGGTAAAAAACTTGATGCTCTGACGGTCAGTAACAAGCAGTTTCCATCATAGTCGACTTCACAGGTGATAATGACACTATGTGAATCATACATAAAGGCTTAAGTGCAGCCCTGTCCAAGATGTATGCTGCAGCAAAGCTAGTCTCTCTCTTTGCTCCGAAGATTCTCCTCTCATCCAACCTGATTGACCCTATTTCAGCTAACACTGTTTGTTGAGGCATCCCTAGCCATTGATGTATGTTGTGTTTCAGAAACACGCATACAAGACCCAAGTGTGGTTATTCACCTAACCCCACCTGGCCAACAGGATGAATCTTCAAAATTCACCTTGAGGGTGTCAGGAGATGCCACAGCTAGTTCACGAGGATTAGCTGGCGTAGGGATAGCTTTGAGTACTAGGGCAGAAAAGACATTACTTGACTGGATCCCGGTAGATAGCCGAATGTGTGCTGTCCGTCTGAACGGATCAGTAAGAAGGAGAAAGGACTGCACTACTCGCCGATGCCTTTTCGTAATCTCCGCCTACGCCCCCACTGACTGCAGTTCGGATGAAACGAAGGATGAGTTCTACCAAAAGCTGTCTAGTTTGGTGCGAAAGGCTAAACGCTCAGATATAGTCGTTCTAGCTGGTGACTTTAATGCTCAAGTAGGGAAATTGTGTCAATCTGAGAAGGATGTCGGTGGCACCTATGGAGTTCCGTGCCAGCGAACCGACAACGGTGACCGTCTCCTACAGTTCTGTTCAGATAATCATTTGTTTCTTGTAAGCACTAACTTTAAACACAAGGAGAGACACTGTTTAACCTGGCGACCCCCATCATCAAACCAACGCTGGACACAAATAGACCACATAGCAATAAGCTATCGTTGGCGTGGGTCGGTAGGAGATTGTCGCTCCTTCTGGAACACGTGTGTAGATACCGATCACGCACGCTCGTGTGTGCTTACGACTGAACGGACGTAGGAAACAGCTGGCGGTAAAACCATCACGTCCCCAGCTCGATCAGGAAACTAAATCCCTATTTGAGGAAGAACTAGCTAAACACATATCTGAGTTCGACAGCTGTGCTCACCCTGAGAAGCCTGGAAGAATATTCAGTCAGCCATAGATACAGCTGTAAAAGCTGTGAATAAGGTAAATCCAAAGGTGAGTAAAAACCACTGGATTTCGACTGCCTCATCCGAACTGATAGATGCTAGAAGACTTATTCCGGCGAGCTCCGAATTCAATGAGGAGCGAAAGCTGCACAAAAGGAAACTTACTAAAAGTCTCCGCAAGGACCGTGAACAGTGGTGGGTGACAAAGGCGAAAGAGATGGAAAAAGCATCGGCGATAGGCAACACTAGGCAACTCTTTAGACTCATCAGGGAAACGGGTGGGAGAAGGCAAATCATAAGTGAGACTATTTCTGAGAAAAATGGCTCCTTAATTAGCTCTCAGGATAGACGCCTTGAACGCTGGAAAGAACACTTTGAGGACAATTTAACTTGCCTACAGCCACACTGAACCTCCCCGACATCCACACACACCCGAATGGGATATAGACACTGGTCCGCCGTCTGTAAGTGAGGTCACAAAAGCTATCAGTAATTTGAAACGAGGCAAAGCGGCAGGACCCGACGGAATTATTCCGGAGGTGTTTAAATATGGGGGTGACATACTAGTTTGTAGATTAACTGAGGTACTAGGCAAAGTCTGGGAATCAGAGACAGTTCCATCAGACTGGGGTAAGTCACTTATTATACCGATATTCAAGAAGGGAAACAAGTCCTCGTGTGATAATCATAGGGGGATCAGCCTAACGAACATAGTCTCTAAAATCCTAGGCTCAGTAATCATGCATAGACTAAGCAGAACTCGGGAGGAACAGACAAGGGAAAATCAAGCAGGCTTTAGACCAGGTAGAGGGTGCATAGATCATATCTTCACTCTTCGACAGATTCTAGAACATAGACACACTTTTCGGCGTCCAACAATTGTCATATTTCTTGACTTGAAGGCGGCCTTCGACTCCGTGGATCGAAAGGTACTATGGCAATGTCTGACTGTGAAGGGAGTGCCAAGAAAGTACATTGCACTAATCAAGGCACTCTATTCAAACTCACGTAGTCGTGTAAGGGCTTATGGGGAATTGTCATCTGAATTGGTAACAACCAGTGGTGTCCGACAGGGATGTCCACTTTCCCCATTTCTGTTTAACTTCATCATAGATATGCTGATGGAAGTATCCTTAACTGAACGTAATGACTTAGGAATCGACTTGTTACCAGGGAATAGTCTTATGGACTTAGAATATGCAGATGACATAGTCCTGTTAGGGGAGGATGCTGACAAAATGCAGAGTCTTCTGAACACCTTGAGCAGCAATCTTCGTATGTTTGGCATGCGATTCGCCCCTGCAAAATGTAAGATGCTGCTACAGGACTGGACTACGTCAACTCCTAACTTAGTGATAGGGAGTGAAGTGATAGAACATGTTGACCACTTCACCTATTTGGGAAGTTGTATTAGCACCAACGGACTGATTGGCGATGAAATCTCAGCACGGATCCGAAAAGCTCGAGCTGCTTTCGCTGACTTACACCATCTCTGGCGTAGGCGTGACATCCGGTTATCAACCAAGGGACGTGTGTACTGCTCATCAGTTCGCTCCGTCCTTCTCTATGGCTCTGAAACATGGCCAATACGCGTTGAAGACATGAAAAGGTTGACTGCTTTCGATCATAGATGTCTGCGATCTCTGTCTCACGTTAGGTGGTTTAATAAGGTAAGTAATGTTGACGTTAGGCGTAGAGTGTTGGGCAAAGAGGGAAAATCAATCGACGAGGCTATAAAGTTACATAGACTAAGATGGCTAGGTCACGTGCTGCGCATGCCTAACCACCGCCTCCCCCGACGGGCATTACTAGCTGATATAGGTGCAGGTTGGAAAAGAGCCAGTGGTGGCCAAACAAAAACATGGCCTCATCAATCCATGAAATCCTTGACAGTTAAACTGAGTCAGGTAGGGAGATGCAGACTTCCGGGTTGGGGCCCTCGGGACTCTAGGAATCAATGGCTGGAGACAATAGGTGACATGGCTCAAAATCGTTGTCAATGGCCAGCGCAGATGTATTCAGTCTCTGTAATCTTTCATATTCCTTTCTACCATTACCCATTCTGTTTCACTCTTATACTTGTCAGACTGTATTGATTCTCTTCACTCATCTTCTTGTCTACCTCTGTGTGCTATTTGGAACGTGGCAACTCGAAGCGCTGCACTTCGGTGCCAAGTTCTATGTTGAATCCAGACAGACAGCCCAAGCTAAGTGTCATGTATATCTTGGACTGATTCCATGTTTTCTTTCGACCACCACTACTAGCTCTCATTCAAACGGGTTGATTCTATGTCAGCTAACATTTCCCCTTCGTGGAAGCCGGTGGCTACGCCTACCTAAAACATGTATATATATATATACCTCTTGGATGTAAACTTGAAGAGAAAAAGGATAGGACACTGAAGAAATCTATGCATCATAAAGACACACGGAGTGGTCACTACTTAAACTTCAACAACTTCTATCCAGTCAGTTACAAACGAATTCTGGTGAAAACACTTTTCTCTAGATAATGAACTAATGCTGCTTGAGAAGTGCTTGAAAGGAAATGGTTTTCCACAAAACTAGCTTCCTTGACAAATATGGGTGGTGGTGGTGAGGGGGGATGAAGGTAAAAAACTTGATGCTCTGACGGTCAGTAACAAGCAGTTTCCATCATAGTCGACTTCACAGGTGATAATGACACTATGTGAATCATACATAAAGGCTTAAGTGCAGCCCTGTCCAAGATGTATGCTGCAGCAAAGCTAGTCTCTCTCTTTGCTCCGAAGATTCTCCTCTCATCCAACCTGATTGACCCTATTTCAGCTAACTTTGTTTGTCGAGGAAAACGGTGACTAAGTCTACCTAAAACATGTAGCCATCTCAGTTGAGGTAGCTTTGTAACTTCATCGATTGACTTCCCCTCTCTACTTAACATTCGACGGCTAACCTCAGTGTTACTCACCCTGCTATCCCACCTAACACGCCGACGCCTATGATGATGAAAGATGGTTAGCCTTTTGGTATCTTCCACTCGCAATGGCGGTGTCTCACATCCAGTCATAAGAGAGGTCGGAGCAAAATTAATCACAGTACACACGTCCTTTGATGGATAGCCAGCGGCATATCATGTCTACTAATCCAGAGATGAAGTAAGTTGGCAGATGCTACTATACGGGTCTTTTGTATCTGTGGGGTTAGATTTCGTTAGCTATTAGCTTGTCGGGTCTGATGCAACTGCCCAAGTTTTATTGGAATCTTTGTGCGGGATCTAATAATGTGCAGTACATATAATAATAATATGCTTTATTCCAAAACAGTACTTGTGATACAGAATGGAATTCTCAGCATTTCACCACAGTATTGCATCCAGTTAGTACATTAACAATAAACAAATTCCATATAGATTATGGGTAATCTCAGTTAGTTTTGACAACGACATATTGGCATATCGGTTGGTAGCAAAGCCAAAAGTGAACAGAGTGTTTGAAGGTGTTAGAAAAGTAGATGCTAGCATATTTACTGGCGTAAGCGGTAACAAATAGGTCGAGATATACAGAGTGTGAAAGAACGGAGAAGAATTTTTTAAGTATAGTTTGTAAGGAAGAGTGAAGCAGAAGAGCACAACAAAAAAAGAGAAAGGGAAAAGAAAGAAAACGTCGTAGCTATAAATGATATGAGTTGGAAAGACGAGATCCAGTTGTTCTACTGACTATTTAATAAGTTATAGTTTTCACGTATAATGCTTTCTTTATCACACAGAACACGAGCCAAGTAGGGAGGGTATGGTTGAGTTTTTGAACTTCCTAGTGTTAGCATATAGTTTTCCATATAGGCTTTTGGTCCTGCCTGATGAGATACAAGGGGAGAGTTGTGAATGAAGAGGGTGGTGTGAGTTAGATAGAATGGGTACAGTCCATTTTTCACGCGAGTCCAAGTGGCTGTCGACCAGAATATTAACAAGCTGGTTAAGTGGCACGTTGCTTGCCCTGGTGACAACGTTTAACATGCTGCGTATTAAGGTATAGTCCTTCTCAGTAGCCAAACCTGTAAAAGCTAAGGGGGAACAATAGAGAATAATAGGCAGGAAGGATGCAAGAGTTAACGAATCGTAAGAGTAAGCGTTAGGTTGGGTTATTCCAGAATGTCTTAATTTCTTGATGTAGAAGGTAAGACGGAATATTTTCTTAGAAATCATCAAGATATGAGACGACCAGGAAGGAAAGATCAACAGATAGAATGACGCCAAGATATTTAATTTCCGACTTGATCTCTATTTCAGTGACATCTATGTTGCACACCTGCTGAGTGCTAGCCAATTTGTTGAGGTCAGATTTATGCCTAAAGGTGTGTAAGTATATAAGTATATTTTGCGAGTTTAGCAAGCATGATTGCAGAGATCAGACCATTTTCTTCACTTGTGGAATGTGCTCCATCTAGTTCTCTTCCAAGCAAAACTTCTGTGTTATGAGGAGTTAAGGAGTGTCCGGTATTAGCCTAGCTGTTAGAGGTGGGACTCACAATGCTCTGGTACACGCATTCTTGTTCTGCGCCTGTGAAACTTGGTCTCTCCGAGCTGAAGATGGGCGGCGAATTTGTGCATTCGATCACCACTGTCATAGTGTGGATAATTCTGACATCCGGCAGATTGTGTTTGTTGGTCACCATCCATTAAGCGTCATCAATTGGAAACACCTGCTTCGATAACTGGGAAATGTGCTACAAATGTCATCTGAGAGAGTCTTCCGTTCCGGTCTTTGTTCGCTAACCCTGTGACTGGATGGAGAAGGCAGAGAGACGCTTAACCGGCCTATGACGTGGCGTTGTGGGGTGAAGAATATTGGTGTTAAGTTAGCATTATGTGGCACACTATGACTCCCTGTTTGGCACGCAGAAGTTAGTTCGAATCGGTGGCTCGAAATGTTATCAGATATAGCCAAGGATCGCAATCAATGACGAACACGGCATGTTTCTTTTCTTTCTTTCCCATCTGAAAGTGACATGTAGTGTTGGATGTTGAAAGATCTTGGCAAGGATGCATGCTTGTATCCTGGATGACTCTCTCACTCGTCCTCCTCGTATATTCCTTACATACTTTTGTGCCGCACACTCCTTGGTGCCCTGACTGACTGGCTTCAATGTGGAACTTTGCACAGATGTACAGCAGTTCGAGTTGGCACACTACCTCTATGTTGCATACAGAGCACGAGAAGAGAGGAAAAAGAGTTTCGAATAACAGATATATATATATATATATATATATATATATATATATATATATATATATATATAATAAACGCAATTGTGAGTGAGGCAAAATCAATAATAATAATAATAATAGTGATAATATGGAAGAACAGTAGATTTTTATAGGATATTGTAAATCACAAAGAGTGAATGCATCTGTGCCAGCCATCACCGAGAACGATTTTCGGCCATATCACGGGTGGTTTCAAGCTTTCATTGGTTTATATCATTCCGAGGACACCAATCAGGCAGTCGACACCTCCCTACGTGGCAGTTTGCTTGGCTCCAACTAACTGATGTGCATTTCATTGACTATTGAAGCCATGTTTCGGTTTGACTACCATCATCACCATTACTAGTTTTTTTCCAACCTGATCGATCCTATGTCAGTTAACATCTCTTGTCGAGTTAGGCAATGGCTAGTTGTAGACACAAAACACATGCCCTAACCATCCATCTCAATCGGCGTAACTACTTCACAACCTCCTCGATTGATTTCCCCTCCCCCTTACCTAGCACTCGACTCTCTTGGTGCTCTTATTGCACCGAGTTTGTATGTTCAATGAAAAAATAAATGAAGGAGGGTCAATTGCTGTCACAACACTATCTAGTGTGCATGCTAATCAACTGTATCGTTATCTAACACACTGGGGTATGCAAGTGTGTGTGTGTGTGTGAGAGAGAGAAACAAATGAGCTGACTTGATAGTTTGCAGTGCACAATGTCAGTTTGTCACGTGATTGTAATATAAGTCGTCGTCAACGTCCTCAAAATATGTTTGAAATATCCCGAACTACATCTGTTGCGTTGAAAACTGCAATTTCTCCGTTAGGCAGCTTACTTGACTGAGTTGTTATAGAAATAGGGGATTTCGCTCTATTTTACGAACATTTGAGAAAGTTAATCTATACAAGAGTTTGTTTGTCGGCATTTGGTTTGTTTCTAATTCGACAACGGAGTGATGTCAGTTTTTGAGAACCATTGGAAACCACCACGGAGTACTGGACAGCTATCCTAGTTCAAGACTCATCTGGAGCATGCACCCGCAGGCCCCGAACCCAGAACCTTCCAGTTACAAATCTAACGTCGTAGAGCATTCAGTCACTAGGACCAGACTTAATGACCAGCCCTTGCATTCTAACTTCTACCAATTCGTTATTTTAGCACAACGATGGTTTGGGGGCTTGGTTTGTAATCGGCAGGTCCCAGATTGGAAGCTTGGAGGGGTGGGCGTTCTAGATGAATCCCAAACCAGGCTGACGAAGCAGCTGTCCGGGATTCCAGTACGCATTTGCATCAGCTCTGATTTTGAAACTGGTTAGAGGAAGACCTGAGGAGTTGACTCAAATTCTGCTTTTATGTTAGACGTATTTTCAACTTGTGTACTAAACGCGTTGATAATTTCACATAAGTGTAACATCCAGATGTTTCAGCTTATGTGTTCACCGTTGAAGAGGTAGACAGCTGAGTCACTTTATCTCGAATCTGCTTGGTACTACACCACTACCTAGTCCACTGAATTCAGGTGAACAGTATGGTCATCGTACATCATTAGGACTCTTATGTATCATAATCGTGTAGTGTGTGATGCAAGACGGTTGTCCGTAATGAGGCTTTGCGAACTTTATCTAATGCAATTCCTTTTCTTCAAGAAGCTAACTGAAGTCACTTTGGCATTTTAATAATAATAGTAATAGCTTTATTCTGAACTGTACTTTTGTACAAATATGCAATTTTCAACATGTAGCAGTACAGTATTTCAGCTAACTTTCTCATTACAGGAGCAATAATTAGAATAAGGAATTTACATTAATTATATTGTTCAATAAGAAACGAATATACAATCAAATCAAGTGAAGATATTAAGTACAATGCAACAATAAGAGCAGAAAAAGGGTCGTTTACTTATAGTTCCTCAGTAAGTTGGTGATTCCCGGTCGACAACTGCTCCCTTGTCGTGGTGGTTGGGCTTGAATACTGCAGTGACCGAACAAGCTAAATTGTCTGGGATTCTTCTTCCTGCAGGTCCTACCATGTCAGGAAGGTATTTTGGATAGAGGTTTGACTAAAAGCAGTTAC